TAAGGGCCAGCCAGCAAACTGTCACTATTGCACCAATGGTGATATCATGGAGGATAAGCCAGAAACATCATAACTGGTTGGAAAAGGCAAATTTTCCAGCCCTGCTCTCTCCAGATATTTCTGTGAACCTGTACCACAGTGATACCACTGATAAATAAATCCTTGTGGCAGCCAATGAGGAAGGGAAGTGTTGCTTCTGTTTTAGAAGCAGAGTGGAGGGAGAAGGATGTCCATCCATCCCCCCTCTGCTCTGGAGGGACACAGGTGTCCCAGCCCCAAAAGCAACCACCAAACAACACACCCACCACTCCACGGAGTGAGAAACTGTTCAGTGCCTTCCCTTGAACGCTCTCAAAAAGCACACCTGAAACTCCTGGCAGGCCAAGGGTGCAAAGGGACAGTCTGAAGTCCAAAGCCACACTCTCCATTAGGTTAATGTTTGCTAAATCACTGGCAGAGCAATGAAAAGCTCCAACAGATACCAGCAAACTTCCGCAAGACAAGAACCAGCTCAAACCTTCCCAGCCCCATCTGCAGCCACCTCCACCTCCAGTGGCCAGAGCTGTGGGCTTTGTCTCACTCCTGCCTGTATTTTTGCAGAGGGATGGGTTTGCTCCTGAAGATTTTCATCCCCTTGCTGGGAGCAGCACTGGCCTTTTATTTTTATTCAGCGCCTCCAAGTTTCAACGAAGGTAAGTCATGGGGAAAAAACAACAGCAGGGAGGCTGTGCCAGCGTGGCAGAGCGTGCCATGCAGAGGGGCATGGGCCACTTGAAGGGCCTTTTGGAGCACAGCCAGGGAACCCAGAGTGTGGGAGGGCTGAGGGCTGGGAGGGGAGGGCAGGCAGCCCCCCGTGCAAGGGGTCAGAGCACAGGAATCATAGAATCAGCTGGGTTGGAAGGGACCTCTGAGATCAAGTCCAACCCTCGATCCACTACTGCTGTGGTTACTAGACCATGGCACTAAGTTCCACATCCAGTTTTATCTTAAAAACCTCCAGGGATGGAGAATCCACCACTTCCCTGGGCAGCCCATTCCAATGGCTGAGCACCCTCTCTGCAAAGAAATTCTTCCTAATATCCAACCTAAACGTCCCCTGGCACAGCTTAAGACCGAGCCCTCTTGTCTTGCTGAGAGTTGCCTGGGAAAAGAGACCAACCCCCCCCTGGCTCCCCCCTCCTGTCAGGGAGTTGCAGAGAGTGAGGAGGTCTCCCCTGAGCCTCCTCTTCTCCAGGCTGAACAGCCCCAGCTCCCTCAGCCTCTCCTCCCAGCACTTGTGCTCCAGTCCCTTCCCCAGCCTTGTTGCTCTCCTCTGGACCTGCTCCAGCCCCTCCATGTCCCTCCTGAACTGAGGGGAAGAACTGCCGGGGTTACACCGGCTCTGCTGGGACACGCAGCGTGCGACCTCTGTAAATGACTGACTTGGGAAATGTGCGCTTTTCCGCTTTAATCCTTTTATTAGCCGGCTCTCCCTGCTCCCAGGCCAGGCTGGGTGCAGAGCTCGAGCCTCGCACGTGCTCCCCACCGAGCCGGGATTAAGGATCGGGTTCCAGCGGGGGTCTGGAGAGGGGTGCCCGCAGCTCCCGCACCCGAAGGTGAGGGGCGGCAGGGCCAGAGAGGAGCCGCAGTGCCCACGTGTGGAGAGACAACAGGGGCTGTGCCGGCTCTGAGCTCCGCGCCCTCCTCTCCAGAGATGCTCCGGGGGAAGCGGGTGATCGTGACGGGAGCCAGCAGCGGCATCGGGGAGCAGATGGCCTATCACCTGGCACGCATGGAGACACACCTCCTGCTCACGGCACGGACTGAGGCCAAGCTGCAGAAAGTAAATGGCAAGCGGAGCCGGGCTGGATGAGGATACCCACATGGGAACACCAGACACCTTCCAGACCCACCCCAGTGTATCCCCAGCACGAGCCTGTTCTAACACACACAACACCCACCACAAAAATTGCATTTTCAATGCTGGCAGCACAGCATTTCCTTCTCTGCAGCCTCCAGCTGTGAATTCTGACCTCCACCACCACAGACAAGGCCTGCTCAAGTCCTCGTCTGATCAACCCTTGCCCTTTCTCCAATTCTGAACTGGTTTTGTATCCTGTATAAAACAGAATCAAAATGCAAACATTAAGCAATCAAATCTCTATTTATAAACACTAAATATTTGGCTCAGATGTGCTGTCATTCAACTCTGCAGACAGAATCAGTTTTCCAAGGAACATTTCTCGTCCCATAAAGGGAGCAGGGTTTCCAGCTGAGACAGCAACAGCCTGGGATGGGGCTGCTCTGTGAAGGTGAGTCCGTGCCAACACCATTCCCACCGTCCCCACAGGTGGTGGAGCAATGCCTGGAGCTGGGAGCTGCCTCCGCCCGCTACATCAGTGGCTCCATGGAGGACCCCTCGTTCCCCGAGGTGGTGGTGAGGGAGGCTGAGAACACCTGGGGTAGGTGCTGTGGAGCTGCCCCTCCTCGCTGCCCAGCACATCCCCTGCCACACTTTGGGGGTCATTTCAACCCCCCGGAAGCTGCTTTGTTCAGCCTGTTGCTAACAGCAAACGTGCTCTGCTTGCAGGTGGCCTGGATATGCTCATCCTAAACCACATCGGTCACTCCACCTTCAACTACTTCGATGGGAACGTTGGGCACATACGGAAGCTCCTGGAGACCAACTTCCTGAGCTACGTGGCCATGACCACGTCAGCCCTGCCCATGCTGAGGGAGAGCGAGGGCAGCATCGTGGTGGTCTCATCCCTGGCAGGTCAGCACACGAGGGGCCTCTCCCTGCCCACATCCCTTCCTCTGCCTGCAAGGGATCCCTGCTGTGACAGAACAAGGACCATAAGGCAGAGAGCCACTCACTGGGAGTCAGGGTCAGCAAGACCTGGATCCTGGATGCACAACTCAAGTCCTCTGGGAGATTTATAGCTTATATTTTGTCCTTCTAGTCACCCACTAATCACTTTCATGCATAGCACTGCAGTTGTTTTACGTGCATGGCCACATATTAAACACAATTTGCTATCTGTGGGTGTCTCTTCCTGAATGCAGGAACAGTATCACCCCCAACAGAAGGTGCTTCGTGCCATATGTTACATTTTAAACATTCCTGCACTTGTTTATTTCCCTGAAGCATTCATGACAGTTTACTCCATCATCTAAATCACAATACTGCAGCTCCTTGAAGGGCAGGAGGAAGGGAGAGCTGGTGCCTGCCCAGCACATGACCCCCAGCGTTGTGTCTCTGCTCCAGGTAAAGTCGGCTCCCCGTTTGCTGCTTCCTATTCCGCAACCAAGTTCGCCCTGGATGGATTTTTCAGCTCCTTGCGACACGAATTCATCATGGACAAGGTCAACGTTTCCATCACACTCTGCATCCTGGGCTACATCAACACAGGTAAGCTCAGCACCACCGGGGCCTCGGGACTTGGTCCATTCCCAGGCAGAGCCAAGCTGGGCCCACCCTCTGGCTCCAGGCTGCTCTGCCAGCACTGCTGGACTCTCTGCCTGCAGTGTCTGTCCAATGGTGGAAACAGGACCCCAACTCTTTAAAGAGAGTGGCCTGGAACTTTAAACTCTGCTACCCTTGCAGGGGAGGTGGGGATTCCACCCCATGGTCACTCAAGAGGTGGAAAGGAACGGGAAGGGCGTAGCTGTAATTGTTATTGTAACTGTTCCAAGCCTCCTTAAGCGGGTCTGATCCCCAGAGTTTGTCAGTTTGAGAATTCTCCAGACACCCTGGCTGGTGCCTGTGGCAGCCCCTCCATCTGACACCACTCCTTCCCTCCCTGTGCTCCCCCCTTTCCAGAGAGCGCTGTGCGAGCGGTCTCGCACGTTCTCCGGGACAAACCGGCTCCGAAGGAGGAGTGTGCCCTGGAGATCATCAAGGCTGGAGCCCTGCGCCAGCGGGAGCTGCACTACCCCCCCTGGGTGGTGGGCACTGCCGTCCTCCTCCGGGACATCGCCCCCGAATTCCTCGACTCCTCCATCAGGAGCAGCTACCGCGTGGAAAACCTCAAAAGAACGTAGCCACCGGGACAACCAGTGTGCCAGGACCCCTTGGGCCAGGCAGCAGGGGTTTGGGTGTTAACCCAGCTGCTTCCACACCTCCTGGGCAGCCCGTGCTGACACACCCCGGCAACTCAAGACAGGACGCTCTAGAAGTGTGTAACATGGCAGGAAAACACCCTTTTTAGTGATGAATTCTTGCAACTGGCTTTTTCCACCCAAGAGGCACTTCAGAGAAGTCCTGCAGCAGGATCTGCTGCCAGCGTCCTGCTCAGCCTCCAGAAACTGTTCCTCCATGGAAAGCCACCAAGGCAGAGGTACCAAGTACCACAGGACACAAGCTAGAACAGGGATTTGGGCCAAGCAGCACAAACCACCCAAAGCCACAAGAACCAGGAAACGTTTTGTATCCCTTCCAGGTTGGCCTTTGTAAAAATAAATCCTACATTACTACGAGATCTCTACGTTTCCTTGTGTTCTTTTTCCACGTGCACAAGCACAGAGCCCTTATCAGGGCACAGAACCCTTACCAGGGCACAGAGCCCTTATCAGCACCCAGCTGGCTAAACCCACCTCCTCTCGATTTGCATTAACAAAGCTTTCGCTTCTCTAAAGACCTTAATGAATTTCTGCCATTCCTGAGCTCTCCTCAGCTGCCAAAACACGTTTTTCCCCCCCTCTCCCTCCTTTCCAATCCGCAAAAAGCCCTTAAAATAATAGCATTACTGTGCTTCCCTAAGTCTGGATTTCTCTACCCCAAAGCAGCTTTGGGGAAACCCAGTCACCGAGTGCCACGAGCAGTTCCATGAGCCAGCGCTCGACCTCTGCATGGTGGAGACCAGTAGATGGCCCAAAAGATAATTGTTAGGTCTGCTTAGAGAGAAGCTGGAGAGAGTTTGGGCTCCCAAGATAACCCAAGGGCCCCGTGTCCCACAAACGGGGCTGTGAGCAGAGACAGGAACCGGGGCTCGGCTGCAGCTGCAACGTTTCCTGTTTTACAGAGCGAGGAAAAAAAAGAGAGTGAGAGCAGAAAACGAGGTGGTTGGCACGAAGATGGCAGTGGGAGCGTGTTCATGCCTGATAACACCCTGCTCCTGCACAGCAGTCCAGGGGTAGGACAGGACCCCTGGGGCCAGGTAAGTGCTGGAGCACCCACAGCACTGGGGCTGGCAAGGACTGGGGGGGGAGCAGAGACTAAAAGCAGCAACGTGCACCTTCTTTCCTCTTTTTTCACCCCACTTTCAGCCTACACAAAACTTGCACCGGGAAGCTGTAACATGAACCAGCAAGAAGCACTGTTGGTTTGTTTTTTTTTTTTTTTTTCTTGTTTCCCTTGAAGCAAGAAGTGTAACAGCTTGGAAAGCACAGATAAAGGACATGTTGAATTAGAGAGGGTGATTTGGGGTAACAGAAGGAGGAAACAGAGTGTTAGCCTGTCAAGAAGGCCTCAACAGTTTGCTCAGCTCAGGGTGAGTAATGGACTGTGTGTTTCTTTAAGCTTTACCTTGCTTTAAAGTGCATTTTTGGTTAACTGGGGCTATTCCAGCCCTAGGACAGTGCAGGTGGGAAAGGGGCTGAGCTATTCCTGACAGGAGCAGATGGATGAGCGCAGACTGGGCGGGACATTTAATGGGACCTTGTCTAAAACTCAGCAAAATCAGTTAAAAAACGCTCAGCATTCGGAGCAGTGCCCTGGCTGGGGCTCGTGGGCACCTGACCACCCAAAAAACACTGTGCTCCTTGCAAAGGATGCCCCTACAGTGAAAGATGGCACCAGGAACGAGCTTTGAGCACTCCACAGCGAACACAAGGCCAATAAAAAGAATTACAGAGCAGATTTTAATGCAGACTCAAAGCATGGAAGTATTTCACGTGTAAATGAGACTTACTTGTTCCCATTTTTTTTCCCATTAGACTCAATAACTTCCTATTTGCCTGAGACAGAATGAGACCAATGAAGTTCTGGTGGTTTCTTGTTCACACTGAAGAACATTTAACCTGAATTTTCAGAGACTAAAATTCCTCCTTTTTTTTTTTCCCCTCCTTCCCACATTAACATGATTTACTGGATACAAGGAAGTCTCACACCAGGCACAGCCAGAGCAGCTCCCTGGCTGAGCCCCTCTGAGCAACATTCATGGGATGTAAATAGGGATGATGAGCTGATGGGGCCAGGGGACAGGAGAGGGGGACACAGCTGTGGAGGAATGAAAAGCAGTTTGGGTAGTTCTTACTCAGCTTTCCCTTTAACTGATGCAGAGGCAAAAGCTCAAATACACTGGATACCACCGAAATCCAGTAAGGAATAACACAGTGGTGACTTGCAACTGTGCAGAGAAGTCATGAGGAGGGAGGAGGTTCCATCCCTGCACCCTGTGCACACATGTAGACAGTGCAACAGTGCTGGAATGGAGGATCTCCTCCTTTGGCCATGCCGCTGCCTGGTTTGGGCCCCAAATTCCCAAGACATGGGGCAGAATTCACACCTGAGGCAAACTAAGAGCCTGTGCCCCCAGTCCTTGAGCACAACTTAACAATTGATTAATCCCAAGGAATAATAATTGGTCTCTACACTTGTATATGCAACAAAAGAAAGCCAGAGCTTGGCTAATCCTGGGTCAGGACCCACCCAACAGAGCAAGATCAGCAGGGTGTGTTTTAGACTTCATGGGCAATGGATTTACAGGATCAACAAGGTTGGAAAAGCCCTCTGAGATCACTGAGTCCAACCTCTGACCTAACACCACCTTGCCTACCAGCCCATGGCACCGATGCCACATCCAGCCTCTTCCTAAACCCCTCCAGGGACAGTGACTCCACCACCTCCCTGGGCAGCTCCTTCCAGTGACTGATCCCTCTCTCTGAAAAGAATTTCTTCCTAATGTCCAACCCAAACCACCCCTGGCAGAGCTTAGGACTGTGCCCTCCTGTCCAGCTGCTGGTTGCCTGGGAGGAGAGGCCGACCCTCACCTGGCTACACCCTCCTGTCGGGGATCCCTGCAGGTCATTCTCCAGCAACATTTACACCTCTGCCTGGGGACTCCAGAACCGAACACCTCACCCTCACTAAACCTTAGAAACGATTAGTTCTGACTCAAACGGTGTGTTTTCCCTCAGTTCCACCCGGACAGAGGAGCTCGGGGAGGTCACAGCCCAGGATGATCAGCCAGCCCGGGGTGGGGTCCCGGCCGCGGCGCCGGCGCTCGGGCGAGAGCTACGAGGAGAAGTGCGAGCGGCGGCAGGAGAGCAGGGAGAACCTGCGCGGGAGGAACAACGCGACCACCTGCCGGCACCTCCCGAGGGCAGCGGGGCACCCACCCCACAGCCCGCGCCAGAGGGAGTTCCTGAGGAGGAGAAACCTGGCGGGCGAGGCGGGAAGGGCATCCCCGAGGCAGGAGCCGGAGGCGCAAACCCCACCGGGCTCCTCACCGACCGTCCTGCTCCAGGTAACCCCTGCCCCCGGGGCACAGCTCAGCACCCACCAGAACACCGGGATCCACGTCACAGCGCAGCCAAAACGTGGGATTTGCACAGACAAAAACACGTGTTCTCCTCAGGCCCTGCAGAGTCAGGTGCAGGCACACACATTGCCATCCCCCCGAGTGCTCCTCTCCTGTTTTCCGAACCCTGAGCCAGGCGTTTTCTGCCATTCCTCCAAGCACAACCTCACATCCCAGCTGCCAGGCTACAGGTTTGCACTTACACAGGTTATTTTAGCCTTGCTAAGCAAGCTCTGAGCACCTGGGTTCCCTCCAGCCACCTTTGCTGTTAGCAGGAAGGGTGGAGGGATCAGGAGACTCCCTGGCACCCATTGCCAGCCCTGTGCTGCACAGCTGACAGGAACCCAGAGGGCTTTCTGTCTTGAATAACATCTGTGGCAAGCTGCAAAACACCCCAGTCAGAACCAAAGAGATTTTCTCCTAAACTTCCACCTGTGTAAAATGAACCATTCCCTGAGTTCATCCTTGGGGCTTCACAAACTTGTGTGAGCACAGACAATCAAACATGAGGTGACTTACCCGGGCACACCCTCAAACTCCCTTTGCAGCACAAGACTGAGCAGAGCAATTACCAACCTCCTGCTGCCGTTTGGTTCACCAGGTTTAGTCACAGGAATCTGGAACAGGCATTTACACGCTCACAGGGCCTTCTCTATTTACTCCTGCAGAGATATCAAGGCTCCAGCCCCGGGGGAAGCCAGTGCAGAACTGGCACTTCTGCTCCAAGGCAGCCAAATGGCAGCAGAGACCTAAACCAGGACCTATTTAATTCCCTGCCACTCAAAGTCCTCATCTTTCCCAAAAAGATGTCAAGATGCTTAGAGGGGATTCCTTGACCTATTCTGGTGTTGCCATTCCTCCCACCCCAGCAGCCAGCTGGTTTTTCCTCCACTTTCCCAAAAAAAGCTCTGGAGCTGCTGCAGCCAAAGCAGCAGATCCTTGTGGACTTGCCATGGTTTCTTCAGGCTCTTCACCCAGTCACCACAGCTACCAAGCCTGACCAGGCCTTAACCCCTTCCCCTCAGACTATTTTGGAGAGACACTGACTCAAGCTGCCCTCTCATTCCAGGACTTGTGGAGCAGCCCCACATCACCCCCTGCACAGCCCCTGCTCC